TCACTAGGTTTTGGATAAAATTTACACTCACAGGCCTGTCAAACCTACGTTTGAAACATTGGCTACCATAGCAGTATAGTATTGCAACATGGCATTTGGGTCTTCTAACTAAAATAGGAAAATAGGAACATAAATAATGCCATCATTGCCAGACCTGGTCCACATCTGGTTGACATACACTCTGCCATGACACCGGTCAGTCAGAAGTGCCAGCTTGATGGCAGATCCAGGCCAGACCTGTTTTCTATGGGCCTGGACCAGATAAATCAAACCACAATCGAGCCAGATATGGCATGCTATCACATAGACAGTGCCATCTATGCCAGGCCTGGTCCATATCTGGATGACATACGTCTTATCATGCCAGAAGTCAAACAGCAGTGCCAGCTTGATACCAGATCCTGCTTGCTATGTGGGCGTGTGGAGGAGTGGGCCAAAATCCCCACTGCAGTGTGCAAACCTGGTCAAGAACTACAGGACACGTTTCACCTCTGTAATTGCAAACAAAATATTAACACTGATTTTCTCAGGTGTTCAGACACTTCTGTTCCTCGCTGTATAGTGATACTGCATCAGGTAGATCGAGCCCTCCCTTAGTTATGCTCCATTAAGTCTAGGTTGGTGGGGGATTCCCATGATGCACTGTTGAGCGTTTCTTCTTCAATCCCCTCGTTTCACTCACTGTGTGTTTATACACATCTCTGTATTTGATTATTAGTTGTTATTAATAAATATAATATTAGCAATAATGCTAATGAAAAAATATATTCTAAAGTGTTTTGAGGTTCGAGATATTTTGTTTGTTGTAAATTTTCCTGAAACTGAATTATAGGTACTATGTGTTTATGAGTCAACTGCTGCTTATAAAAGTTAGGCTCGTTAGCTATTGAACCGTCTCACTGCTGTTGTTTTCTTTTAATCCAACAGTTTCTGTGTTTCCTCACTGCTGTCAGCAGATATTGGCCTATAAACATTGACCCAACAGTTAATAATTGACATGATTTCCCTTTTGCAGCAGCCTTTGGTTGCCTTGACTGAAAGAGACAGTCTGCCAGGTAGTAGAACAGACAAAAGAGCACAGGGTTTTTTTCTGGCAAATGATCCGAGTTTATGTTTAAATGGTATATTTATGTTTAATGAGAAGTGTAAGGGCAACCATAGTACACTAGATTAACTGACAGCAGAGCCAAGTGTCAGAAAGCATTAGAAATAGGCAGTTAGGCTTAAAAGTGAAAGAATGCTCCTTAACTTAAGACTCCATGAATCTGGACTAACAGCTCTGCCAGGGTGAACTTTGGCTCATCTTAAAAGGTTTCAACAGAGATAGAAACTAGCAGCAATGTGGTGATCATA